TGGGCTTTCTTTGTGGGCTTTTCAGTTTATTGCATAGGGGAATTACACCAGTCCCAATTGAAAGTAGACCCTAAATGGAAACATTCCACAAGCAAATCTGCCAGCTTGAATTAAAACATCAAATGAGTTAGTTCTCAGAACTTCTTTCCAAAGAGAATCTATATCCATGTTAACAATCTTTTTTTTTGGTTGGTACTGGGGATCGAACTCTGGCCCTTGTACTTGCGAGGCAGTTAGTGGAACCACTGAGCGAAATCCCTAGCCCTTTTCAGCAAAATTTTTGTGACCGTTTCTTCCTACCAAGAAGGGAAATCTAATAATGTGTTTTTCCCCTGCAGAGGGGGAGCGGCTCGATGCCAAGATGAAGAGGCTGGAAGCTAAGTACGCCCCATTGCATCTGGTCCCACTCATCGAGAGGCTGGGGACCCCACAGGTACAGTGGCTGTGGCCGCCAGGATGTGGCACATTGAGGGCTCATGTGCATCCACCCCTGGCCCTTGAGGGGTGTGCGCAAGAGGCAGTCCAGGCACACTGTAGGTGAGCAGTAACAGACACAACACATGTCACCTGGCGCCGTCCATCCCTTGGCAAAGGCTTTCTTTTCCAACAGGAAACTGGACAGAAGGCAAGGCCTCAGGGCAGTCTATGATCCTGTCAGTCGACCTATGCACACTTGCCACCTCCAGCCCAATAATTCTGTCGGGACAACCTGTGCACTGCAGGGTGTCCAGTAGCACCCTGATCACTGCCTATTACATGCCAGTAGACCCAACATCACGGAGACCAAAAATGTCTCCACGCATTGCCAGATGTGTCCCGGAGGCAGTCACGCACAGCTCAGCACATCCCTCACTTTCCCCAGACTGTGAACTAGTCAGTCTTGGAGGATATGTACTTATTGAAGCTTGCTTTTTATTTTATTATTTTGAGTTTTGTGAGTTTTAATTATTTCAAAAGGCCTTGCAATTAAATAAATTACTGTTCAGAAATCTCCCACTTTTCATACAAAAATACTGTGCTACTGATACAGTTGAAAAAGTTCAACGACTTCTCCTGCAGGAGAAATTCACAGCGTTCCCAGGGTCACCACAGAACCTTGCCGTGGGCCTACCAGTTGGCTCCCCGGGGCCTGCATACCTGCCACCTGGGATCGGTTTTCCAGGCACTGTCCCACCATCACGTTCTTTTGCCTCCAGAGCAGCAATCTCCCCACTTCTTGTAGGGCTGGATCTGGGGAGAGAACACCACCCCCAACCCTGGTCCTGAGCTAGGCCTCCACTCATCGCCTGCCCTATTCCTTCTGGCCACCTCCAAGCAGGACAGTAAATGGTTTTGCCTGCTGCAAAGGGACTCAGCCGGCTCTGGGAGATCACTCCTCAGGTTCTGTAAAGGTTCACATCATTAGTTACTGAAGCTTGTTTGGGTGCTGCTTGCTTCCAGACATCCTTTCTGGCAGCTGCGTTATCTTGTCATTCTTAAACAATACATGGTTGTGCTTTCTGCAGCAAATTGCGATCGCAAGAGAAGGGGACTTGCTGACCAAGGAGCGCCTCTGCTGTGGCCTGTCTATGTTCGAGGTCATCTTGACTCGGATCCGGACCTTCCTGGACGACCCCATCTGGCGCGGGCCTCTGCCTAGCAATGGGGTCATGCACGTGGACGAGTGTGTGGAGTTCCACAGGCTGTGGAGCGCCATGCAGTTTGTGTACTGCATTCCTGTGGGGACGCACGAGTTCACAGTGGAGTAAGTGTGCTGTGTGGAGCCGGCAGGGGAAGTGGAGACCGCAGTAGTGAGATCTGGGAAGGATCAGGCATATTCAGAGCTGCTTTAGCGGCACTAAGCGAGCCTTCCTTTCTCGATGCCAGAGGACCCAGGACTAGACCCACGAGCCCTGAATACATAGGCTGCGTATCTCTGGGTGGCAGGTCCCTAACGTCCTTCCTCAAGGGTCTGGCGAAGGTTAAGAAATGCCAGAGTTCCAAAATGCTCTTTATGGAAACCCGGAAATCAGCAGCTGCTCAGGACCCCGCTCCCGGCTGTGGATGGACAGTGACTGCGCAGCGCCTTGCAGGCAGCTTAGTTGGTGCACACGTGTCCCTTAGTCCTGACCTCCGCTCTTGCTCTCAGGCAGTGTTTTGGCGATGGGCTGCACTGGGCCGGCTGCATGATCATCGTGCTGCTTGGGCAGCAGCGGCGCTTTGCGGTACTGGATTTCTGCTACCACCTCCTCAAAGTGCAGAAGCATGATGGGAAGGATGAGATTATCAAAAGTGTGGTATGTGGACAGACACTTTCCAGAAACCTTTATTTTTTTAATTTATTTTTTTGGTACCAGAGATCGAGCTCAGGACCTTGTGCATGTGAGGTAGGGGGCAGCACCACTGACCTTTATAAATCCCAGGCCCAGAAGTCTCCTTTCTATTGAGATTTTGGGGATGAGGTTTCACCAACTGAAACTTTCATTCCTAAAGTGGACCTAAATGTAAGTGCCAAGTAACAAAGTTTGGAAGATTTAAAAAAACAAACGAAACTGCCATTTTCTTTCTCTGACTTATCTTGTCTGTAGGACCTGCACCCTCAGATTACTGGTATACTCTTCCAGTCTTCTCTGTACAACTTAAAATAGGCTTTAACTGCCTTTGTCATTTTAATGGAAACCCTTACAGCTGAATTCTAGAGAGCACTGCTCCTTGTAGTCTGAAATGATCTTTCATCTATTCTCTGGGACTGAAGTTAGACGTCAGCCCTCCTTATAGCCCCGTACCCTGCTGATAGCGCTCCTGCGAGTGCAGAGTCCACACAGGCCGGGGTGTGAGCGGCATGGTTAATCACTGTCACTCTCACCACACCCAGGGCAGTATAGTCCCGGACCTCCTCTCATTGCCAATTGGCATGGCAGTGCTGTGGCAAGGGGCTGATTTCAGACCCCCGTACTCGGAGGAACAGGTCCCCATCTCCTCCTGGCTGCTAGCCCATCTCAGCTTCCGGCACTCCCCATTGCCGTGGCTCTTCTTCTCTAGCCAGGAAAAGGCCTGTCCCCATATAATCAGACTGGGTCTGGCTGGGCGTCCAGGAGGCTGTACTAGTCTTCAGTTCTGTAACTGCAGATTCCAAGTCTGCTTTGTGAGGCAGGGGAACAGGTGTGGGTGTCTAAAGGCTCCTGTAGCCACCACACATCATTTTCTGGGCTTTGTCAGCCGCTGAAGAGTTCCTTCTTTGTGTCTTTCAGGTAACTTGCTTCAGCTGGATCTAGTCTGCTGAGTTTCTATCTCCAAAAGTCCTATGTTCCTTTTTTCAAGTTCAATTTAGTTCTTCCAGTTTTGGTTTGAAATTGATACAAATTAAGTTTATGATTTTCTTCCTAAGATTTGCATTTGTTCCTCTCATTGCCAGGGGCTGGTGCCAACCTGGGACCACATTAGCCTGCACTTTCAGGTGTGCTCCGGTTTGCTCACAGCCCAGGCTGTCTCCTCACCCCAATGCCGCTGTTGTCTCTTTACCCACCCCCCCTTTTTGGTACTGGGGATCAAGCTCAGGACCTTGCACTCCCAAGGCATGAGCAGTGCCACTGAGCTGAATCCTATCTTACCACCTTTGTGGGCTCAACCACAAGTACCTGTAAAAGTCTGTGTTTTCTGTTACTCTTTGTCTAGATCTATCATAGCAGCAATGTCAGTGAAGTCTAGAACTTGTTTTACTACTGAACATACTGCCTTCATCTTTATAGTCCCAGCTTTTACCATACAGTAGGTTAATACGTTTATCGAATGAGTACTTTTGCAGTTTTGTAGTTCATGTGGCAGCATGGAACCAACAGAGAAACACATTTAAATTGAAAGTACATTGGCTAGTTTGCTGTAATTTTTCTGAGAAAATAATGAAAATCCTAACATTGTGAGTTACAAAAAAGTGCCTGGTCTCCCCACTGTTGTAGCCTTTGAAGAAGATGGTGGAGAGGATTCGCAAGTTCCAGATCCTCAATGACGAGATCATCACCATCCTGGACAAGTACCTCAAGTCGGGCGACGGCGAAAGCACACCTGTGGAGCATGTGCGCTGCTTCCAGCCGCCCATCCACCAGTCTTTAGCCAGCAGCTGAGGTGCAGGGCGGCCCCAGCACAGCTGCCCCAGCATGGCTGTCGTGCAGTTCTAACTGCCCAGTGAGATTCTTAGGGACTATTTTTCAGTACCTCTGCACTTGTTCATGGGCGCACTTTTTGATCTAAAAGCTTAATTTTATAAAATTGACTTATTTTTCTAGACTAAAACTGTAAATGCTTTTGGTAATTAGGGAGTCTGAGAACACTGGGCTGATTGATGCCATCATGTTCCAGGTTAGGTCCCAACAGCTGGCCACACCATAAAACACTGCCGAGTTCATTCATTTTCCCCTTGATAAACATAATACCTGCTAATTGTATTAAACTCCTATCCCGATTACCATTAAACTTCATGACTAGTTAGCTGTAGATTAGCGAGTTTTCTGGTGTTCTTTCATGAACACTCTTTTTAAAGTCATTATCCTTCTTTTGTGCCGGTGTTTTGGAAAGTAGTGAACTCGATTCTTTGGTTTCCACTAAATCCAAATATAAAATCTAGGAGTACAGTTTAGGAAAATAAAACTAATGAAATCTAGTTGTGTGCATTCATTTCCTGCCACCCATCCTGGTTGGCACAGGTAGGTACTCTCTCCTAGTTTAGACGGCTTCTGGCCAGGTTCCGGGACTCATCTCCAGGATGCTGATGTGGGAAAGGACAGTGACACCCTGGAAACACTACCCTCCTCACCAGCACAAACACTCAGATGAGTGAGATGGAAGAAACGTATGTGGCTGCCCCATTCTGTGACCCAGAGGCTGGCGGTGTGGGACAGCAAACACTGCACACAAGGAACCAAGGAGCCCGAGTCCCATCCTGAGTCCCTGGCTTTCCCTCCCCACTGCTAGGTGACCTGTCTCATGACTGGAATTGCCCCAACAGACTAGTTTGGTCTACTTACTGAAATATGGAAATGGATAAGAACTGAGAGCCAGGTACAGTTGGTCTGATGTAGTCCCAGCTACTCTGGATGCTGAGATGGAAGGATCAAGGCCATCCTGGGGAACATCGTGGGACTGTCTCAAAAAAAGGGGGGAAAGAAAAGAAACCGCATTACTGGGCTAGGGAGCACCGAAGTGCAGGAGCTTCAAGCACAGCACAAATAGGACAGCAAAGTGCTTTGCCATACTGTTAACCCGAGCTACGTGACCTTTAACAGAACTATTATAAAAAGTCACCCATGACTGGTGACAGGAACTAATAACCTTAGGATGAGTATTCTGCTACAGATTAGGAGTGGTGTCTGCCTTATGCAGCACAGAACGAAAGTTATTTACAAATGCAGGGCCTTGTGCTTGCCAGGCAGGTACAGCTCCACTGAGTTACACCTCCAGCCAAAAGCTATTTGAATTAATGAAAATGCAACAAGTACTTCTGTACAGAAGGATTCCTAGTGCTGTAAAATGTCAGAAAAAATTTGTTAGCATCAGTTAGGCATTCTCTTTGAGGGCACCACCATCCCCAAGGGAGTGAAATCTGGCTTATTCACAAACTGGAATAAATGATACCTAAGCAGAGAAATGGTGTGCAATACATGGGAGGGCTGGGTGGAGCTCAGTGCTACTGTGCTTACCTGTCATGTGGAAGGCCCGCTTGGAGCCTTAGCGCCAATTTTTTTTTTTTTTTTTTTTTGAGGGTACCATGTATCAAACTTGGCTCCTTGTGCTTGCGAGGCAGGCAGTAGAACCATTAAGATAAATCACTGGCCCCAGCAGCAACTACTTTTTAAAAACATATATGGAAGGGTCTTGGCAGAAAAATGTTTCTGAAACTCCTTGGAGCACCAATGCAAACTGGAGGAAATATTTCACAATCTGGGTAAGTGTCCGCCCTGCCTGGAGTCCAGTCCCTGGGAGAGCTGCAGTGACCTCCGCATCACATGGGACTCAATGCTGAGTGGCAGCCAGCACTGCAGTCTTCAGGAAGAGTAGCAAACAGGCCCAAGCCTCTGCTCTTGCAGTCACCTGGGGTGGGACATTATATATATTTAAAGGCCAACAAACAACTCTAAATAAATAGGTTTTGAAATTGGAATAGGGTTCATTACACATGTTTGTAATTTCCCATAAGCATGTGTCCATAAACATTTTCTAAAAGTCCAAAATATATGATGTCCAGATGAAGTCTTAAGCAAAGTGAGTACCTGATACAGATCATACTTTACACAATTTCACATTCGCACTTTCATAACACAGGTTAAATTTATGGAGTCACCCCAGTGTCCTGATTTTATTTCCCAGTTGTTAGAAGTTCTAACACTATAATTCATATGAAAATATACTGAAAAGTTCAAGAACGGATGCAAAATGGCAACGAAGGTTGTAGGCACCATGGGATTCAACTGACTAAAGAATAAACTTACCCCAGTGGTAAGTGGGGCCAGACTGCTAAGCAGGCCAAGCTGGCTAGGGAGCTGCTAAGGAGGCGTCAGATGCACACAGGAAACATGAAACCAGATGCATGGGACAAGTCAGCGTGAGATGCTTCCTCCACATGATTCCCTAATCTTGTTTTTAGAAAAGACTGTCATTTAAAAATTGTGGATTCCTACACTGGGCGTGGTGGTACACACCTGTAATTCCAGTGCCCAGGAGGCTAAGAGGATTGCCACTAGTTCAAGGCCTGACTGGGCTACATAGTTCAAAGCAGCCTGTACTACAGAGCAAGACCCTGATTCAAAAAATAAATTTAAAAAAATTGAGGATTCCCTTAAACTAATACTACAAAATTAAAATAATTCATCAAACAGGAGTCAATTTTACAGGTGAGGAAAATCACAAGATAATGTATTGGGATAATTTTGGTTTTTTTAACACTCAAAAAGCCTTACACGGCCAGAGATCAATGGAGGGGGATGACAGATATACATTTCAGAACCTTCATCACCAATGAAAAAATAAATCATTTCATAGACTTAAAACTGTCATTAGTGCAGTTAGATTTTGAAGAAATAATAAAAATGTAAAATACCTCTACAATAATACAATGTTAATAGAAATTGGCTATGTACTAAGGTCATTTTAGTAAGCTACCATTGTTTAAATATAAGAAAGTAATTTCTTGGTCCAAATTAGTGAAACCTTAAAAAAGATTGTCTTTAGAGAACACTGAGTACAATGCTTTTTCAGACATTCTGATATTCAAAATCTGTTGTAAGAGAGCTACTGATTAACCTTTTAATCACATCTTTCTTAAAAAGCTGTCAGGCTTCCATTTCTCCGGGAGACACTTTCACCAGAGTGCTGTTCAATTCCACAAGCTAAGCTTTCTTCATTGTTATTAAGCACTTCATACATGTTAGAGAGACTGCCATTCACTGCTTTTTCATCTTTTCGAAAAGAGATGGGCAGACTTGCTAGACTAAAGCTGACATCTTTAAAGGCATGCAACAAAAATATCCCCACAATGATTGTGAAGAAGCCACTCAGAGTTCCAATGACATCATCCACAGGCATATCCTGCCACTCCTTGAAGAGAATAGCTGAGCACGTTAAAACTGAGGTGGTGAAGAACACATAATAGATGGGAGTCACAATGGACGTGTTGAATATGTCCAGCGCCCGGTTCAGGTAGTTGATCTGAGTACCCACGCAGACCACCAGGCTCAGCAGAAGGATCCAGGCCAGCGGGTGCTGCAGCACAGGCCTGCCCGCCAGCAGCTCCTTGATGGCGATGCCCAGGCCCTTCACGCAGGAGACCGAGAACGCGCCAATCACAGAGCAGATGGTGATGTACACCAGGATGTTGGTCTGCCCATGGCGAGGCCCCACCACGAAGATCAGTATCAAGGACACAATGACCACAAGTGTTGCAAAGACAACAAAGCCTGGAGGAAAGGAGTTAAGTTACCTGCATCAAACATTTGGTCAAATGTTCTTAAATACAGATAATCCAAACAAAATATAACTAACTAGACAAGAAGCAGAAAAAGGATGCCCCCCAAAAAATTTAGGGCCAGGGATTTAGCTCAGTGGTTCTGCCACTTGACTCACAAGCACAAGGACCCAAGTTCGATCCCCAGTACCAAAAAGAAAAAGGATGTGGCCCAAAGAAAAACCATCTTGCTTTTCCTGCCATAGCAATCATGGCACAAGCATATAATTCCAGCACTTGGACTCCTGAGACAGGAGGACTGATGTGAGCTTGAGGCCACCCTGGCCACAGTTCAAGACCAACCAACCTAAATTACCTACATAGCAAAACCCTATCTCAAAAAAAGGAAAGACATCCTGGGGAGGAGGCTAAAGCTGAGGCAGGAAGATCCCCATTTAAGGCCAATTAAGGTAACTTAGCAAGGCCCTATCTACAGGTAAAAAGGGCTGTGGATATAGCTCTGTGGTAAAGCACATGCCAAGCACATGCCTAGCGCATGGCCCTGCTTCTGAGCCCCACTATTGTTAAAACAAACATAAGACCAGAAAGAAAAACTCAAAAGGAAGGCTAGACAATAACTAAGGAAAGCTCCCAAAAGGCACAGTAAAAATGCCAAATGGTGAAAAATAAGACGAAAATAAAAAAGGAAACAAATGGGCTGGAGAGGTAGTTCAGTGGCAGAGTACTTGTCCAGCATGCACAAGGCCCACACCAAAAAAGAAAATAAAGTGCAATTCAGGAGGTCCAATCAGTACAGTAAGGCTGGTGCTCACCTGTCATCCCAGTAGCCTGGGAGGCCAAGGCAGGAGGATCGCAAGTTTGAGCACAGCCTGAGCAACTTAGTGACTTAGCAAGACCCTTCAAGCTCTGGGTTTAGAACCCAGTACCACAAAAGACAAAAATAAACTTCAATTCAGTTCCAAAGAGTAAGATATCAACCTTCAAGTTAAAAATACTGAACAAGAGGGCTGCGGATTTAGCTCAGTGGTTTCGCTGTCTGCTTCACAAGCACCAAGTCCCGAGTTTGATTGCCAGTACCCCCCAAAAAAACCCAACACAACCTAGCACAACAAAATGGAGCCACATCAGTAGGAAATTCTAGACACCAGTGACCAAACAACAACAAAAACAAACAAACTCCAAAGGCTTCCAAAGTAAAAATATAACAAATAAAATCAACTACATTTGATTTGTGGTGTATTTTTCCCCCCTTTGGTACAGGGGATTGAACTAGAGACTTGGTGCTTCTGAGGCAGGTGGGACTTTACTGAGCTAAATCCCTGGCCCTACATTTGATTTCTTAATAGCAACACAAAGTGAAGACACAATGGAGACAGTAGGAAAAGAAAACATGATATGGTTAAGATGAGAATAAAAACTATATAATGACAAAATAAACAAGTACACAAACCCAAGTAGATGCAGTAAGATATAGTAGGTAATGATATGACATGCATGTTATTTAGAAATGCAGAGTTTAAAGGACAATACTGAAAGGACAGGTTAATGTTGCTGTGTTAGCTAAGGCCAAACAAAGAGTGGAGGAGGGGGAGGAGAGTGAGGGGGGAGAGAGAGAGAGAGAGAGAGAGAGAGAGAGAGAGAGCAATCACTTTCAATATTCACACAAAGTTTTAGTTATACTGTAATACTAAAAACTAGCCAGGTGTGGTAGCACACACCGATAATCCTATTACTCAGGAGGATAAGGCAAGAGAAGTGCCAAGAGTTCAAGGCCAGCATAGACTACATACATAGCAAGATGCCATCTCATAAAACCAAACCAAAAAGTAAAGGAAAAACTAAAGTACAGCTGGGTGTGGTGGTGCAGACTGTGATCCCAGAACTTGGGAGGCAGAGGCAGGAAAATCACTGCCAGTTCAAGACCAGCCTGGGCTATACAGTGAGCTCAAGGCATGGCTAGATTACACAGAAAGACCCTGTCTCAAGAAACAAAAACAAAAAAAGTAAAATTACAATACAACCAATAAAGCTTTTCTTCTTCTTACCTGGATCACCTAGCTTGTGTGACATTTCATCCAGGGTCTCGATCTCCTCCTCCTTTGGAGCATGGATGACCATCACTGTGGATCCTAGAATACTTAGCAAACACCCAATTTTCCCATGAAGATTCAGTCTTTCATTTAGGAAGTATGAAGAAAGGATGGCACTAAAATGTCAGGAAAAGGGGGTTGAGAACTTTAATCAGCTACTTTCCTAATTTGTAAACATCCGCAGACTCATGGTTTATTGAACTCACACTAAAGCAGTGTGATTATGAAGATTCCAGCTTTCAGCCAAAGTAAAAATGTACATCTGACTATACATGCAATCAATTGCTTCATCATATACCAAGTCTGTGTATTTACCATCTTTCCTTTTCAACAAATTTACTGTTTAAGAGCTATACTTGTAGGACCTGGGATTTAGCTCAGTGGTTCCCCTGCCTGCCTCACAAGTGAAAGGTCCCCGTCCAACCAGAAAAAAAAAAAAAAGCGCTATACTTTGTAAAACTTAGATCCTAATTAAAAATTGATAGCCAGCCAGGGATTTAGCTCAGTGGTTCCACCTCCTGCTTCGCAAGCACAAGGTCCCAAGTTCGATTCCCGGTAACAACAACAACAAAAAAATTGATAGCCAAACCAAACCAATACTTAAAAACCGTTCAGCTTTTCTCTACTGCTTAATCTGATACAGTCCACTTATATGTCCATTTAACTGTATATAATTTGCCACTTAGTTATCCCATGTTATTTACAAATACAGTTAAAAGAAACTACATGCTGAGAGCAC